TGAGGCCCAGTCCCACAGGGTCACAAGAACAACTGGCACAGAGACGATTTACATTAAGGCTTTGGGCCGAGGCTCAGCAGACTGGTTCCTTGCTCTCAAACATTTCTCTTCTCCTAGAGCCAGGCTTATGGCTGACCACCTGTGATCCCCAGGGTTCTCTATGCAAATCCCTGCTCAGTTCCTAACCCTGCCCTCCTTAAATCCCCGCTATTATTACTCACTTCCGGTTATCATTTCTCCATATGGCTCCTAATCCTCTTTAAAATGATATATTTATACCTCAGTAGCTCAGCAATAATTAAGGGCAGGTCATGGGCAACTGACCCACGTGAAAAGCCAATTGATTTTTAGATTCCTTGGCCAGGGGCTACATCATGTTCCATTTCATTCATATAGTTTCTTAACTTGAGCACGGGTGCTGTGCTTTAGTTACTCCTCGGTGTTGCTTAAGTATCAGTAGATGTGAAGAGACAGGGATGATGACACCTCCTCCACACCAAGCCAGTTAGGGTGCCGGTGGCACAGAGCCACAGCAGCTGCTGGGCGCATGCTGTCTTCCGGTGTGAGGAGATGGAGGAAAGGTTGGAAATCGTTGGGCTGGGAGATCTTCAAGGCCCATTCCGTTGCCATTTCACACCAACAGGGATCTGCTGGCCCAGGCACTCTCAAAGGAACCAAAGGATTGTCCTGTAAAATTAAGCTCTGATGGCTCTCATTCATTCAGCCCTGACTGTGTGCTGAGCTTTGCTCAGTTACTCAATAAGTATTTGAGTTCCTTGTATGTGCCAAGCACTGTTCTGGACCCTGGGAATTCATTGTGTATGGTGAAGTCCTCTCCTCAAGGACGTTGGACTCTGGTAAAGACACAATAAATGGGGGGTGGGGGCGGGGAAGAATAAGATTTAGTTAAGTTCTGTGAATAAAATAAGATAGTGTCAGAATTACTTGAATGGCTACCTGAGGTGGGGTTGGGACATTTCCAAGGAGAGGAGAGTGGTCCAGAAGACAGCCATGTGAAGCCACGGGGGAAGAGCAGCGGGAAGGTCAATGGCACGGCCCCGTGTGTGTGTCTGGGGACCAGGACAGAGGAACATGAAGGCCAATCAGGCAAGGACTAGATCACATACTGCATCGTGGCTGCGGGAAGGAGTGCAGATGTAATTCTGAGTTGTGACTGGGAAGCCACAGGAAGGTTTGGAGCAGGAGAGTGACCGATCTGGTTTAGGCTTTAGAACATACTACTGTCCAGGGGGCAGAAGCACCAGGTAGGACCTGCTGCTGGGGACCAGGTGTGAGGACATGGCCTAGGCGAGAAATGCAGTAACGGAGGCAATGAGAAGTGGCAGGATTCAGAATATGGTTTGGAGATAGAGCTGACGGAATGGCCTACTAGTAGATTGAAATGAGATCTAAGAGAAAGAAGACTGAAGAATGGGTCTTAGTTTTGGGGCTAAGCAACTGGGTAAATGGTAATGCTATTGCTGAGGTGAAAAAGGGTTGGGGAGGAATCTAGGGAGGGAATCAGGAGTTTGATTTTGGCCTTGCCATGTTTGCAATCTGAGTAGAGATGTCTCTTCGGCAGCTAGTTTCATAAATCAGAGTTCTGGGGAGAGGTCCAGGCTGCAGGTACAAATTTGGAAGCGATCAGCCTGCAAATGGTATGTAATGTGATGAGTGAACTCCCCTGGGGAGGGCATAGGTGGGGAGGTGAGAAAAGAACTTCCAGAACAAGCCTGGAAGCCCCAAGCACAAAGAGATTTGTTCAACAGGAGGAGGTGCTAGCAAAGGAGATGAGTAGTCAGTGAGATTGGAGTGAACTCAGAGGAGTGTGGTTTCTTGAAACCTAGAGTGTTTGAGGAAAGAACTCGTTGATTGAACTGGGATGAGTCTGTTGACAGACTGAGTGAAAAAAAGCAGGTCTTTGGTGACCACTTCTCCATGGAATGACAAGGATGAGCATCCCACTGGAGTAAGTTGGAGAGAGAATAAGAGGAGGACATGGGGCACCTGGGTGGCTCAGTCGGTTGAGCGTCCGACTTCACTCGGGTCATGATCTCGCGGTTTGTGAGTTCAAGCCCCGCGTCAGGCTTGTTGCTGTCGGCCTGTCAGTGCAGAGTCTGCTTTGGATCCTCTGTCCCCCTCTCTCGGCCTCTCTCTGCATGTGCTCTCCCCCCCCCCAAAAAAAAAATACTTTAAAAAATGTTTAATGTATTTCAAAATACGGAAGGAAGGGGAAAAATAAAAAGGGGAGGAGAGAGGTAGGGAAGGAAGGAAGGAAAGGGAGGGAGGAAGGAACGAGGGAAGGAAGGAAGAGAGTACAGTCCAGACTGGATTATATTCATCTTTATACCAATGGGTGACAAAATATTTTTAATATTTATTTACTGAATATTTATTTTGTGACTCGTGAAGGCAAATCATATGAAAGTCCCATAATGGGACCCTGAATGTGGAGTCAAGGAAGGAGTTTTGTGTTTTGTTTTGTTTTGTTTTGTTTTGTTTTGTTTTGTTTAATAAAGGTGATATTAAGGCCATTCTCAGGCAGGAATGATCCATTAGAGAAGGATAAACTGAGGATGGAGAAGAGAAAAGGAATAACTGGGAGTGAAGTGCTTGGATAGGCAGAGAGGAGACCTAGCTGACGAGCTTACAGGTGGAGAGGGAAAGGGCCACTGCTTCCATCAACCCAGGAAGAAGGTCAAGTGTGTGGGCACAGGTGCAGAGAAATCTCCTGGGAAGATGAAGTGGTCGTCTGATGTATCTGTTTCTCTGTGAAGCAAAGCTTGTAACAAGGTCATCAGCTGAACGCGAGAGTGAGTGAGGTCTGAGGGCAGGCGGCTTGTGGAAAAGTCATCTCAGGAGGGGGAGAGTGACATCAGCGGGGACTAGCATGTACTACCGTCACCTCCTGGGTGCAGGTGAGCTGTTAGCGAACGGTTAGTGGCTTTAGCCAAGGTTGGGTTTTGCCAACCAAGTACTTAGAGGGAGAGAGGAGCACAAAGGTCAAGGTCATGGCAAGGAAATGGCAAGGGCCCTGGGCCGTGGGTGAGGATAAGGAGGAAAGCGAGGATACGAACAGGGTGACGGATGTTAAAAAACAAAGAGATCAGCAAGTTGCAAGTCTCCGGCTGGTGCGTTGTTGGGTGAAGGTGTTAGAGCTAGAGGGAGGCCACGGTGATGTTTGAATGTTTCGGAGGTGGTTCAGAAATGCGTGACTGCGAGGCCTATGGTAGCGGTGCCCAGACGTCAGCGTGCATTGGAAGTACGTGGAGGGCTTGTCCAAACACAGATCACTAGGCCCATGCGCAGGGTTCTTGGTTCAGTAGGGGAGAGGAGACCTGAGAATTGGCATTTCTAACAAGCTCCCAGTTGCTGCAGCTGCTGCTGGCCCAAGGGCCAAAGTGAACGGGAGGCCGAGGTGGGGTGGAAGAAGAGCTCAGGGACCTTTGAGGCCGGAGCGTGGGATGGATCCACTATCCACCTGGATGTCACGTCACCAAGCTGGTGCTCTGAGACAAAGCAGTGAAGTCACCAGTGAGGGCAAGTGGGTAGAGTCACCCGTGGCTTTAAAGAGATTGGCATTTTTGAGGGAGAAAAGAGGAAAACGTGGAGGCAACAGTTAGGAGCAGGGAGGCGATGAGCCGTACTCTCCTGACCCCAAAGGATGTGGCAGAAAGATCCATGAGTGCTTGGAAGGATGACAGGAAGTGGGGCTCCTACTTCACGAATGGCAGTGAGGCACTGGGCGGCTCAGTCCCTTAAGCATCCGACTTCAGCTCAGGTCAAAATCTTGTGGTTTGTGGGTTCCAGCCCCACGTCGGGCTCTGGGCTGACAGCTTGGAACCTGCTTCAGATTTTGTGTCTCCCTCTCTCTCTTCCCCTCCCCTGCTTGTGCTTTCTCTCTCTCTCTCTCTCTCTCTCTCTCTCTCTCTCTCTCTGTCTCAAAAATAAAAACCTGACAAAAAATGTTTTTAAAGGAATGGCAAAAACTTAGAAGAACTTCAAGAAATTAGGGATGAATGGAGGTCGGGGGCAGGGGGGTACGTGCGCGAGGGAGTCAGGCCTGGGGGTGTACAGAACAATTCGGGAGTGACTGGTCAACGGGAGACAGGCAGTGTCACCCCTGAGATTACAAGACCCCCTGGAACAACTCCTAAAATCTAGAAAAGTGCATTCGATTTTCTGGTTTCTGGAAGGTATCATTTTAATATTACATTAAGATAAGCACGAATATATAATTGATTCGGAACAAATTCGCAAACATAAAAGTAAGAGCCTTCAGAGATCTTTTAAGCCGCGCTCACAGATCCTTCTCACATATTCACACTTAGGAGAGAAAGTAGGGAACGCCTTGTTTCTAGGTCTTGGGTGAAGGGTGTTGGAAGGAAGCATTTGTACTTTAAGTTGGAAAATGGAAAACTTGAAGACTCAGGGGTGTCTGGCCCTGAGCTCGGGGACGGAACTGCCCACCTGGAGGCCTTCACATCATAGAATCTGCTGCTTCTCACTGGCCCATGTGAGTGAGGCCCAGATCACCAGCGGGCTCTATCTTACGGGCTAGGAGTTGGTCTCGCTCCCTCTCTGGACTTCAGAGTCTCCTGTGTCTCCAAGATGGGCCTCTCTGGAACAGCACGGTGCCCAACTAATGGAACAGGGAGCATGTGTGAGATGGTAGGGTGTCCGTTTCCTGCCCTTCTCCCCCCTTCAGAATCTGCCAGGGTGGCGTAGTCACGGGGTTGACAAGAGTGAAGGGAGGGGTGAGGCTGGGGGAGCTTAGCTGACTGGGGGTCAGACCTTCCAGGGGAATCTTCTAATGATCTTAGGGTGCTTAGCTGGCCCGGCCCCGCCCCCTGCCGCCCGCCCCTGCGCTGCCCAGTGGCCAGGAGATGATGAAGAGGCCGGCCAGGCAGAGGAAAGGGAGGAAGAGGGCCCCGGCCTAAGGCATCAATCGGCAGAAGCCCAGGAAGAGGCACAGACCCCCGACATCCCTCCAGGCCGCGATGGGGCAGCAGTTCAGCTGGGAGGAGGCGGAGGCGGCCGGCGAGATGGACGTGGCCGAGCTCCAGGAGTGGTACAAGAAGTTCGTGGTGGAGTGCCCCAGTGGCTCTCTCTTCATGCATGAGTTTAAGCGCTTCTTCAAGGTCACAGGCAACGAGGAGGCCACCCAGTACGTAGAGGGCATGTTCCGAGCCTTCGACAAGAATGGGGTAAGGCACTGAAGGGGGTGCGGGGGACAGCTTGTTTCCCACTGAGCTGAAGGAGCATCACCGGTGGGAGGGAGCGGCCCGTCCCCAGTCCCCCTGCTCTGCTCTCCATTTCCTGCTCACGTTTCCTGTCTCTCCCCAAACTCTTCTCTCTCCCCATCATTTGGTCCCTTCCCATCTTTCCTTCTCTCCTCTCCATCTCATCTTCTCTCCCCTCTCTGCTCTTCTGCCTCCCTCTGTCCACCTGCTGAGAGGAGGTGGGCTGGGCAGAAGGGCACACAGTCCAGTCCTCAATTGGTGTATTTTTGGCCAAGGCTCTACAGCCCAAGGACCTGGTCTCCCACACCCACCAGAGCCCCTGTCACTCTAAAGATAAGGAGCTAAAGAGCTGTCCCAAAAGGATGAGCTCTCTTGGTATAGACTGTGATCCCCCTTCGTTGGGGTCCTTGGAATTGAGACTGGTCAGGTCTTCCCTTCCAGCATGCTGGGAGGGCCTCCTGCACTGACCGGGCAGTTGAACGGATCATGTAAAAGTCCCTTACAACTCTCCAAGCCATGGAAGATTCCATGAGATCATTCCACCACAGGATTTCTTTAAGCCTTCCAGTGGCACCTGCAGCTGAGAAGATACTGCATTTTGTCAATCCACCCCTGGAAATAGAATTCAGAAATGGAAACCCCTTCGTTATTTAAGGCTTTCACCAGGGCCTCCACGACCCTTCAAATCATTCGATTTGCCTCAAGTACCTACTTCAGCCCCCCCCACCGAGTTGAGGGGGGGTGGTTGTTGGACCTAGATAATTAATCTGGGGAAAGCCTCTGTACTTTTCTTTTTTTTTTTTTTATTTTTTTTTTAACATTTATTTATTTTTGAGACAGAGAGAGACAGAGCATGAACGGGGGAGGGGCAGAGAGAGAGGAAGACACAGAATCGGAAGCAGGCTCCAGGTTCTGAGCCATCAGACCAGAGCCTGACACGGGGCTCGAACTCACGGACCGCGAGATCGTGACCTGAGCTGAAGTCGGACGCTTAACCGACTGAGCCACCCAGGCGCCCCACCTCTGTACTTTTCCATGCGTGGAGAGCTTCACTTTCTAGGCTGAATCACTGGGAAAGCCTGTTAGTGTCTGACCTTGTCCGGGTACCAGTTAGCATGCATCTGTAGGGGGATGGAGGGTGGGGTAGCGTCAGGGCAACAGAAACCTCCTTAGAGATGAAACCTATGGACTCCCTCGTGGGGCACAGAGTACATTCAGACTTCTCCAAGCTTCTCTTCTGCCCCCTCTCCTCCGAGCCTTCTGCAGCCCATTTAATGATCCAAATGAAATGAAGAGAAAACTGGGACAAGAGGAAGTGAGCTGATTTGCCCAAGGTCGTATACTCAAGGGTCCTGACTCCCAGTCGAGTGTGCCTGCTTAGAAGGCAGTTTGTTTTGTTTTGTTTTGTTTTGTTTTTAAGAGAGAAAATGGTTTTAAAACAAACCAGATCACACACAACAAGATTTGCTATCATAAATGTATCAATCTTCCCCACATTCACCTAAAAGTTCAGTAGGATAGCAACTCAAGATCCAAAAGGGATTGTCAAGGGACACCTGGGTGGCTCCGTCAGTTAAGCGTCCAACTCTTGGTTTCGGCTCAGGTCATGATCTCGGTTCGTGAGTTTGAGCCCCGCGTGGGACACTACCCTGGCAGCATGGAGCCTGCTTGGGGCTCTCCCTCTCTCACTGCCCCTCTCCTGCTTGTGTGTGTATGTGCCCTCCCTCTCTCTCTAAATAAAGAAACTTAAATGGGGAGGGGGGATTGCCAAGCCTGTGGACCTGGTACAGCTGTACTCCTTATGCCTTATCTCTTTTACAAATTATATTCATTGTTGTTTTCCTTCTTTAGAACTTTTATTTTTGATGGTATTTCAAATGTATACCAAGTGGAAAGAATAGCATAAGTAACTCCTATGTACAATTTGTCCAATTGTACCTTTTGCCTCATTTGCTTGATCGTTCTGTGCGTGTGCGTGTCTGTCTTTCTTTAGAGAAAGTTGGAGACATCACATCCTTTTACCCCTAAGTATTTCAGTGTGTTCTTTCTAAGAACAAGGACGTGCTCTTCAATAACCTAATACAAAGATGAAAATCAGGAAATTCAATATTGACCCAATTCTATTAGCTAATCCATATTCAAGTTTTGTCAATTTGACATGTGATGTGTTCTCTATATTGCTTGCTTGTTTTTCTTATTTGGAGCGGGGGGCGGGGGGGTGGGATCTGATCACGCATTGCATTTACTTGTCCTGTCTCTAGTCTTTAATTGAGAACCTTCAATGCTTAGCTTTTGTCTTATTTGACGCTGACATTTTTGAAGATTGCAGGCCAGTTAATTTGGTAGAACATCCCACAATTTGGGTTTGTTCAGTGTGGCTTTGTGATTAGACTCAGGTTTTCCATTTCTGGCAGAAATGCCCCAGGAATGATCTCATGTCCTTCTCAGTGCCCCCTGTCGGGAGCACATGATGTTGGTTTGTCCCATTACAGGGGTTGGTTACATGATGTCTGCCAGGTTTCTCCCCCGGAAAGTTACCATTTTTCCTTTGTAATTAACAAGCATCTTACAGGGAGCTACTTTGAGAGAAGTCAATATCCTGTCGCTCCTCTGATTTTCATCTGCTAGCTTTGGCATCCATCGATAGTTTTCGCATTCTACCATCCCTTCTCCATTTATTAACTGGAATTCTGTTGAGGAAAAGCTTTCCAGAGGTGTGGTAAGTTCCTCTGTCAGGGACTGAGCCTTCTTTCTTTCTTTTCCCGCTTAGTTTCTGTCTCCAAACCCACACCCGTCTCCACTCCCCACATTGGCACCATCTTTAGGTTAGTGAGTCCGATTTCTGGGCAACTGGTCTGAGCTTTTGGAGACAAATGAAATCAGGAGTTCATAGATACAGCTCACATGTCCAAATCTGAGGTGACAGCGTGGCGCCTGGGTGGTTCAGTGGGTGAAGCGTCCGACTTCGGCTCGGGTCATGATTTCACGGTTCGTGGGCTCGAGCCCCACGTCGGGCTCTGTGCTGACAGCTCACAGCTTGGATCCTGCTTCCGATTCTGTGTCTCCCTCTCTGTCTCCTCCTCCTCCACTCATGCTCCCTCTTTCAAAAATGAATAAACATTAAAAAAAAATTTTAACCTAGGGTGATAGAAATGGGAGTTTGGCGGAGGCAAAGAGGCCAGAGCGCCTCATCCCTGCTATGCCTCTCCCTTGCCACACTCTTCTCTCCAGTGGTTGCCCTGCGATGCACTGGGATGGAAGCAAAGGGAAGGTGAAATCAAATGTCATTTGGGATCCTTATGTAACGTGCGCTAAGGCCGGGGCTGGTGCACAAATGCAGCCAATTCAGGGAGAAATGGGGCAGGTAATCCCACAGAGCAGATCATACGCCTGTCACTTCTGCTCCTACTCTTGAGTGGACAGAGGCATTTCCATCATCTTCCCATTGCTCTGTGGGTAATTGAAGCTGACGAGGGCCCGGCACAGAGCGTGAGATGAGTCCCAGCTGGGAGCTTCCCAGGACTCGTCCTGGGGTCGGAGCAACTTTACAGCTGAGGTCACTCCTCCGGAAGGGCTAACTCTAGTGTGCCTCATGGGAGGCAAGGGCTCATTGTGGTAACCGTGTCATGTTGAGGGAGGATGCTGTCAGGACAGAATGTTCTAGACGAAGAATGTGGGAGAATCTATAGAGCTGGAGAGGAAGGATTTATCAGTGGTTTTTGGTTTTTTGGTTTTTCTCTCTGTGGTGCTAGATACAAGGCTCTTTTTTTTTTAATTTTTTTTTTAATCTTTATTTATTTTTGAGAGAGAGACAGAGTGTGAGCAGGGGAGGAGCAGAGAGAGAGGGAGACACAGAATCAGAAGCAGGCTCCAAGCCCTGAGCTGTCGGCACAGAGCCCGATGCGGGGCTCAAACTCACGAACCATGAGATCATGACCTGAGCCGAAGTTGGACGCTCAACCGACTGAGCCCCCCAGACACCCCTACCAGTCATTTTGCATACATTTTCCTACTCTTATTTAAAAAAAAACATAAGGTTAATTTTTAGCAAACTTAATAAGTAACAATTACTGATGAAAATAATCTTTTAAAGAACAACCAATCATCACGGCGTATACCTTAAACTTACACAATGTTCTTTAAAAGGCCATTCGGCAATTATATCTCAACAAAGCTTGCGGGGGAGGGGCGGTTGTTGGAAACAAGCCGGATAACCTTCAATGAGTGAGTAGAATAAACGGGGGGGCTATTCATGCAGTGGAGGACCACTCAGCAATAGCAGGGAAGGGAGTGCTGATACACTCAACAGCTTGGGTGACTCCCCAGGGCTTTTTGCACTGAGCACAACAAGCCCACCTTAAAGGGCTACATACCGTGTGATTCCATTTGTATACCATTCTTCAAGTGGATACGCTGTAGTGATGGAGATCAGATTAATGGCTGCCAAGTCTGGTCGGAGGAAGGAGGTAACTCTTAAGTGGTAACAGAGAGCGTCCTTGCATTGATATTTGATACTACTCATAGCGTCATGTGTGACAAAATCTCATAGAATGATAGACTGACACAAACAGCGGATTAAACACTAGTGAAAAAAAAGAACAGCCATTGCTAAGAACCTACCCTAAAGAAATTACCAGAGATATAAGAAATATATATATATAC